TTTTGGTTTTTCAAGACAGGGTTTCCCTGTGGCTTTGGGGGTTGCCCTGGAACTAGCTCTTGTAGACCAGGCTAGTCTTGACCTCACAGTGCCCCCCCTGCCTCTGCCTCCTGAGTGCTGGGATTAAAGGCGTGTGCCACCACTGCCCGGCTCCTACTGTTCTTATAGAGGATCTTAGTTTGACTCCTAGCACCCATGTCCTGTAGCTCCAGGGGATCCAATGCTGTGTTGTTACATACTTCTTCTGGGGAGACACACACATCCACTCACCCCAGAAAGGGAGCCCTCCACAGACCAAAATAACAGATGCACCAATGCCCGATTGTTGAACCAATGAGTTTTATTAGGAGTAATAGGGGTTACTTACAGGAGCAGAAATGACACAAAGACAGCCACAAAACCAAGTGTCCACCCTGGCAAGGGTGACAGCTCTTGAAAGGGGGAACCTGGAGCACAGCCTGCAGGCATCAACAGGTTGGAGAGTGTCCTTTCCAGGTGCCTCAGTTGGTCTGGTCCTCTGTCCGGCAGCAGGCTGGTCTCTAAGAGTCTCCTTGTAGCTTTGGTGGTCTGAGAGTGACTCTCAGTAGTCTTTATTGCTTACTCCTGGGAAGGATGGGCTACTGAACCTGGTCAGTTTCAGGGACTTCCTGAAGCTATTGAGCTGTTTGTTGGATAAAATGTTCCAATCTGGGAAGAAACTGCTACACATCACACTTGATAATTTTAAAAAATAAATCTTTATTTTTACATTCATTTATTATTAATATATTGTGTGTACACATGTGCCATAGCTTGAGTATGGAGGAAAGAGGACAACTTGAGTCAGTCAGTGCTCTCCTCCTACTGTACAGGCTCTGGGATTGAATTGAGATGGTCAGGTCTGGTGGCAAACACCTTTACCTGACTGAGCCATGTCTCTGACCCCTGCAAAACGTTAAGCAAATTCAACACTAATCATGTTACAAAGGGTAATTTAGTATATAAACATCGTCTACAATTACAAAATTAGGAAAATGAGCAAAGGATGATGTAAGCATGCATTCCATGAAGTGTAGACACTGAGGGGCTTCACCATAGTGACGAAGAAACCTCCACATTGTGAGTGTGGGTGTGCATGTGCCATGGCGCAGGTGTGCATGTCAGAGGACCACTCAGGTATTGGTCTTCACCTTCTAACTTGTCTAAACTGGGGGCTTTTTCATTGCTGCCATTTGCAACTATGCATGTGGGCCATGAACTGGGCTTTCCAACGTCCACTTCCCATCTTACCATAGGAGCTCCAGGGGTATCTAAGTGTGTGCTACAACTCCTGGCTTAAATGGCTGGGGGGGGGGGGTCTTCACACCTGAATGCTAAGCTCTTTACCATCTTCTTAGTCCTCCTGTTTTGGCTTTTGTTTTAAGTTGGGTGTTATGTAGTCCTTGCTGGCCTTGAACTCACAACCTGCCCGCATGAAATCACTGTGATGGGCCAGGAATGTGGCTCAGCCGGCAGGCATGTGCCTATAATTTGTATTAATAGCTTTGATGTTTGGCGTTTCAGGCTGAGAAGCTGAAACAGCTTGATGGCACTGCTGATGAAAGTTTGGTCAGTCACATCCCATTCACGGTGATGGACACCATTCTTGTGGACAACGGGCAGTGTGTGCCAGAATGAGGACTGTGTGGAATGCCACTTCTAGGGACCCAGCTCACAGACATTACAAAAAAATGACAAATGCCAACTGAGCATGGTGGCTCATACCTGATGCCTGCTACTCGAGAGGCTGAGGCAGGATTCTGATTTCAAAGCCTTAGCTGCACAGTAAGACCTTAAAACATAAACAGGACAATCACAGCTACAGTGCAATTGTCTCAGAAACGAAAGGCAGCGGTAGAGCCCTTGACTAGTCTGTTTAACCAACATAAATAAAAAAGTTATCCACTGTGCACTCAATAGCAAAGGCAAGACAGAACCCAAGTGTTTTTTTCTGAGACAAGATTCTTGTAGCCCAGGTTGCCTCAGACTCACTATATAACAAAGATGGCCTTGACCTCCTGACCCTTCTGCCTCAACTGCTAGGACAACAGGCTTGCACCAGCACACTCAATTCACTTGGTGCTGGGGATGGAACTGAGAGCTTCCTGGATGCTCAGCAAGTCATCTACCAGCTGAGCCACATTCCAAGCTCCAAGTGTTCCTTGAGGGGAATGCTCCTGTCCTGGCTGGTCCACAGGGTAGGGTACCATAAAGTGGAGAAGATGGGTCAGGAGTTATGAGCTGATACAAAAATATTTTTGGGCGGAGTTGGGCGGTGGTGGCACATGCCTTTAATCCCAGCACTTGGGAGGAGGAGGCAGGGGGGTTTGAGGCAGGCGGATTTCTGTGAGTTGGAGGCCAGCCTAGTCTTCAAAAAGAGTTCCAGGGTTCCTACAGTGAAATCCTGTCTTGAAAAACAAAACAAAACAGTATTTCCAAGTTATGAAAAGGAAGAATAGGGAAACAGGGCGTGCATGGGGGATGAGATGTTCTCAGGATAAAAACTTTTCATTGCTTTCTTCTTTCAGTATCTTGGGTGTGCTTTCCTATTCAAAAACCTGTTTCACTCACCTAATCAAAAATTACTATTCAAAATTATCTGCCTTCAGATCAGTGGTGGTGCAAGCCTTTAATCCCAGCACTAGGAAGGCAGAGGTAGGCTAATTTCTGTCAGTTCAAAGCTAGCCCATCTATACAGTGAGTTCTAGGGCAGGTAGGGCATCTCAGAAAACAAAGAATCTGCCAACAACATCTGCCACCCCTGACCCCCCAGGATATTCCACATACAGATGGCTCAGCAGTTGAATGCTGGTCCTTACAGAGGACTAGAATCCCTTCCCAGCACCCACAATAGGCAGCTCACAATTGCCTGTACTCCAGCTCCAGGGAGCTGAGGTTCTTCTGACTTCGGATTCCCATGGGTACCAACCAGCATACATTGCAATTCATATTAAGAAACAAAAAACAAGAGTATTTGCACCCCAGGTTTGTGGCAATTTTCTATATTTTAAGCATGCTACAGTGTGGGTGGTAGCCCTGGCTATATGCATTCAGAACAGCTGTCTTCAGACTTCCTACACAAGCCTGGCCCCAGGGGGTGCTGGATTTGGTATCCTTAGCATCAAGGAGCTTACTCCAAGGAGACTGGTGAATGGACACTTGGGCAGTCTCTGGAATATATGCTCTGCAATTCCAGTTGCTGGCAGTTTGGCTGGCACCTGTCTGTCCTGGTCCATGTACCCCAACCAATCCCATAGGCTCTCTGGAGGGACCCAGAGCAGCAGTAAGCCTGCCCAGGGGGCCTACTCCCAGCTGGCAAGGAATGATCAAAGACTGCGAGTACAGCATCCCTATCATCTTTGAGATCACTTGGAGCTGGCTCAAACTTGTTTCTGATTTGTGTCAATAGATTCTACCTCAGCTCCAGGGAAGGGACTTAACAGATGGCAGCCAGGATGTTCTTTCTGTCCACTATGCTGGTGGTAGTGGCTCTAGAGGCTAACCCATTCCACCAGGCAATGGGTCAATTCAGGTATCTTGCTCAATAGTGGGGAGCCCCTTCCTAGAGTAGTGCATGGGGTGCACCTCAAAAGTAGGTGTCTGCCTGGAATGATGGTGAGGTGCTTAAGATCCTGAGCTGTTGCTGATGGCATCACTCAGCAGCCCCCTGGCAACCAACCACTATTTCCTTGACCTTTGCAGAGGGTCCTGGTTATCTCAGAGATTTAGGGGTCAAAAAGATGGCTGTGGGTAAAGGCACTTGCTGAGTAAGCCTGTGACCTGAGTTTGATCCCTGGACCCCAGGAAAAGAACTGACAAGTCGTTTTCTGACCTCAAGGACCATGATGTGTACAAGGCCACCTGGATCATCACTGCTAAGGAAGCCAACTTTGCTGGAAGTGGATGGAGCTAGGGCCCTCTGGTGCCACCTACCACACCTAGGCAATGAGTTCAGTTGGTAAGTCTCCTTAGAGCCTTTCTCACCCTTCCAGAATCAAGGGGACCGTTAGTGTCTCAGTGGGACTGTAAGCCCTAGATGCTACTCTGATTTTCCTTTACACCTTTCCCCCCTTCAAATGAGAGGAAGGCTGTACCTCTGGACTACAACTTACAGAGACCCGTGGCCCCTAAATGCTCAGACTACAGGTGCGCTCCTCCATACCGGGAACCCTCAGCACACAGCAAAAGCTAGCAATAGCACGTTCTGGGGAGATGGCACAGCTTGCCTAGCAAGAAATCTTGGGTTCCACTCTCAGAACCACACAAATTTGCAAGGTGGTTCTATGATTGGTGCACAATTGCCATCTAGCACTTGGGAGGTTCTGGCTAGCGAGGTTGAAGGTTATTCTCAGGTACAAAGCAAGGTAAATGCCCTTTTCCAAAACAGCCACAGGGGCTGGGGACAACTGAGAGCTTGCCTCCCATGAGTAAATCCTAGGTTTAACCCTTGTGCCCCCCCAACACCAGAAAAATGGATGTGGTTTCAAACAGGAGGCAGCAAGTTCAATGTGAAGGGACACTCACATCTTTCCAGTCCCAGCCAGGGAAGCCTTTCTCGTGCAACAGATCTTAAGGCAAGACCAAGACTGCAGGGTGTGGTGAACAGGGCTTCAGATTTCCCCATCCCCTTTGATTGAGACTCTGAACCTTACTGTCAGCTCCTGGGGCCTGGAACTCACTTCCTTGCAGGGCTTTTTCTCTTTCTGTCAGGGAGCAGCAGAGTGGAACTGCCTTTCAGAGGGAATGCTCCCCAAATCCCCAATTTTTAGGACCCCCCCCCCCCACACTGGAGGCCAGCCAGGGTGGAGCTTCTCCAAGAAGTGACCAGTGCTGTCAGCCTCCAGTTGGATGTGCACCCCAGAGCAGCAGGCACATCTTGGAGGCTGCCCTCCCTGGGCTGGAAGCAGTATCTTTCTCTGCTTGCAGATGGCTGCCCCAAGGACACTGCTGACACTGGACTTAGCAGCCAGTACACAGGAAAGGCCCTTTTACTTCTAGCACTTTATTAGCTCCCAAAAGGTAACCACTCTATTGGGGTGTACATTTTTTTTGCTCCTAAGACCTAAGGGCACACGAAGTTGTAAACTGCAAACTCGTCTAAGTGGTCTGACGCCTGAAGGTCAGATGGCGCACTGGAAGGGAAGGTCATATGAAGATAGCATCTGAATGCAATAACCCTGCTGGGATGTAGTCTTGGGTTCCCATATCTTCACTTGAAGAACTTCGAAAAGTGCAACCTGAGGATTCCCAGGGGGAGTATCTTAATCACCTTTACTTCCAGTCATCCTCAATAGAGGCCTGCAATCACATTAGAGTTCAAGTTCCAGCTGATGGAGAAGGGGCCAGATGCTTACTGGCCAAGTCTTCAGGACAGAACAGCTAGCTTCCCAGAGGCGTGGAGAGATGCCATTTCAGACTCAGAGCCAATTGCTCGCTGCCATCCTGGAATGTCATCACAGGTATTCTTCACCCTTTATTTGTTATCTTTGGGATTTTCCAGATCTTTCAAATGAATGCTGTATTGAATCAGGCTTACAGTTGGTACCAGCTCTGAACGGCAGGGTTATAAATAGTGGCAATGGGTAGGATCAACCATTGCTCAAAATGATCCTGTTTAGTTCAGTCAACATTAAGAGGAGATTCTTCATTTCAGGTGAAGGGCAGGGAGCCACTTGGAGATTTTTGGGCCCCATTTTGGCAGTGAGGTAGAGGCAGAGGAGGAACTTGTGTGTGGGAGAGTAGTCAGAACACTCCTTGCAATGCTTCAGCTGTTGAGTTCCCATCTTTAAATACTTGGCCTCTCACTATGCCAACAGCAAGCACTGAGATCAAATGGACACACATTTAGGCAAGAAGGGGACTTTGATTCTCCCTGTATTTTAGAGACAGCTGGATGAATCTTTTATGCCCCCCACAATGATGGGAGACAAACCGCTGTCCACTGGAATCATGAACTAGAACTTGCAGCCACACAAAATTTCAAGTGCAAAAATGCAATGACCTCTGGGATTAAGATTTCTTTAAAAAATCTATAGAATGTTTAAGCTTAGAGTTCCAGGCAGTTTCTAAAGTGCAAGTTATGGTTAAGTTGAATGACTGTCAGATTCAGCCAAAAGCAAACAGGAGCAAAGGGGTTCTTTCAAAATGGCTTTTATTGAGACACTCTCAGAACTTCAGCACTATTTCCATTTGGGAACCCATTTCCACTGCGGTGGCTAAACCCTTTTTGGTGCTGGAGGTCTCTTACCCGCCCATCCACTTGGCAAGGCAGCACCCGGGCCTCCCTCAGATGTCTAGAAGGACCACGAGCTCTACCTCACTTCCATGTTACCTGCAACAGTCTTATTAGTGAGTGGTCTAGGCAGAGCTTAGGCTAAATTCCCATAAGTGGGAGGTGGCTTAAAGATCAGCTGGTGTTACTGATTGGGTGTCTGTAGCATGTGGCTATGGAGATAGCCTTCCCTGAACCATAGCTGCTGCACATTCATATTGTATCACGGCAAGAATGATTTAGGAAAGGTGTATTTCCTTTACTGTTTTCAGGCCACTTCTTACTTCTCCAAGGCAATGTTCCTGAGAGATGGCGGACCTACCCCGTGTCCCATCCTAAATGCTATGCCACTTCTGTCTCCTTATTGCACTCTGCATTTAGCCTGTTCTCGGAAGTATCTGTGTAGTCAATCTACCAGCTCCGTCAGTGCCAAGTGCCCCCAAAAGCATGCTCTTCAGTCTTTCTCTTCAGAACAAAATGGCCAAAAGACTCCAGAGGCAAAGCAACTGCCTGTCTGGTACAACTGTTGCCATACATAAAGTGGGAAGAAAAACCATTAGGGGGCCAACATATCTATATCCATCAACATGACAATTACATACAGATCCAAGTTCTGCTCCTTATCAAAAGGGAAACCAACCAAAAACCTCAAGGATGTTTACTTTTGCAGTAAAAAGGAAACATATACACGGATTAAAAAAATTTGTAGGCGGTACCTGGAGAGAAAGCATGCTTTAGGCAAATGACAGATTGCAGTTTCCCACAAGTTTTCTTCGTAAGCTTGGCTTCCATCTCTGCTCAGGGTGCTGTGGCATCAAACGGCAAAAGATGTAATGGACACACAGGACTGACATGTATAATAAAAGCAAATATTTACATTAAGCACAATACAGCAATTTATTTAGATGCTTAAAATGAATACAAAGGGAAATAAAGACCACAAAATCATACATACTACAACAGTGTGTCATATATTAGATGGTATAAATGAATACACCCGGCGGTGCTCAACTAAAGAGGAAACTAAATATCCCAAATGCAGCACTCAACTGCGCTTGCTGCTCTGACACAACACTCTTACAGATCTAAAAGGTGTCAAAATTAGTAGCTGTAAAATCAATTCTTGCATGTTACTTTAGCTTAAAAGGTCTCAGAAAGAGATCTGAAATATCAATTTTGACAATTGTAATGTCAAGGATACTCAGAACAAGAAAAAAATTCTATAATACAGGAGAGTCCAGATATATATCTTATGTCGCTGGCCTCTGTTGCAAGATTGTACAAGGTTATGTGCAAAAACTAAGTCTGTCCAAAGGTCCATACTATCGCAGGGTCAAGCTTCTGCTAGGTAAACTAGATATAGCATTTATCACACAGCAAGGGCAACACTAAAAACCAATCTATGACGGGCACACAGTAACAGTGTCATAAGCATCACTTGAGGTCTAAAAGACTGTACAAATATACATTTCAACTATTCAGAATGAATACATGAAAAAAAGGTCCATGTTCCCAAGTCTACTAGACACACCTGACTGGTAGCATGTATGCCCGCCCTGTACTACTATGTAAATCAGGGTAAGGCTTTCCCAGGACATCCAACCAAACATCTTACCGAGGGAAAGAGATGCTGGAAAGGCAAGTAATGAACTGCTTTTCCCTGTGTGCATTCATGAGCCACCAGCTTACTGGTTTTTCACACTCCATTACTGAGTCTACCAGAGAAGGGTCTGAAGCAAGATCAACCAATCACATGTCATAGACTTAGAAATAACCACTGGGTCTATAGTGGTCACATGTCCCCAACAGCCTGTTGACTGACCAGTCCTTGCAAGGCATTGCCAGTTAGAAGGCAGCTTTGCAGTCAGAACAGAGGTCCAGGATGCAACATGGCCCATGTGCCGTGGTGCGCCAGGCCCTCAGGCTTGCTGGCTGCTCAGTTTTACTCCAGTTAAGCTGCCATGCATGGGATCAGCAACTCCATCAGTCATGCTGTCAAACTGCTCCCCATCCTCACTGTCAATTGTGCTATTCTGCCATTCAATCTGTGGGTTTGGTAAGCGCTCTGCATTCTCAGATGCATTTTCCCACTGTGATTGGTCCTTTGACCAAAACCCTTCAACCTTTCCATAGGAACTATTCTTCCATTTCAACTGCTCTGTGTCTTCTTGCACCGTAGCCTTTTTTTTGGAAGCTGGCTTACTGCTCCTTGCATCTTCGCTCTGGGAAGACTCATCAGACCAGGTTCCCGTCTTCATTTCACAAGTGTTATCCTCAAAGTCCGAGATCTGTTGGGAACCAGGTCCACTTACAGATGGTGAAGCACCATCTTTCCACTCAACAACATCATCTTGGTCTACCTCACTGTCGGAGGCATCATGCATTAATTTGGTTGGTTCCTCAGTCAAATGGACAGTTTCATACTTTGAACCATCCTCCTCCTCTTTTTGGTCTAGTTTCTCAGAATCCAAAGCATCCTCAGGAATTACCTTCGGTACATGCTCCTCTGGATTATCACTAGGAATTTTAGGCTCAACTTCAAAGACAGGGTCAAAAGGGCTGCCACTTCCATTGGATTCTTCTTCTAAATGTTCAAAACTATCTGAGAAGCTGTCATCTTCCTTCCCAAGGTTAAGCTTTTTGTCAACAGTCTTACTAGCATTGACTCTTGAGTCCTTCTCGTCATGATTTTCAAATAGCCACTCAGCATCAAAATCCATCTCATGCTTGACTTTATTTAGTTCTTTCATGTTAAAGCCTAGCAGCACACCAGGCTTGTACTTCTCACAGTCACGGACACACTTCTTCCTCTTGTTACTGAAATGGGAAGCAATGTCACTCTTCCATAGCCATAGACTGGCGGCTAACTTCTCAATTTCTCTTCTGGTGGGATAGGGCTGTTTGTTGAAGTACTTTGTGAGAAAGCTTTTCCTAGCTTCATAAGAATCATCTTCATGACCCTTGGGGTCTAAAGCTAAAACAACGGGTTCTTCAGGCTTCTCTTCAATGCAGCTGGGGGAGTCACTATCATCCTCCAGCTTTCGCTTTTTTAGCAGAGGAAACTCCACCTGCTCATAGGTGCGTTTCACAGGGGCCAGGCCTGGAGACTGATTGAGCCGAGAAGGTGCATTTGTCTTGTCCTGGCCATTCTGGGTTTTCCCAACACCTCTGCAGTGGACTAGATGAAGGGTAATGGTTGAGGCTGTCATGTTGCTAGTATACACACCAAGGCAATGGATACATTTGTAAGTTAGCTTTTTCTCAACTGGATGAACTGTCTGAATAACTTGGTGTCTTTCTCGTAAATGATGTGCAAGTGCATCAGATATGGGTCCTTTTAGGATTGAAAAACAAAGAGGACAAAGGGTTTTCCCAACATCTTTTTTATAGGGCACTGCAGCTTGAGGTGAACTTTTAACAGGGACATCCGCCTTTTCCTGAACTTTTGGCTGTGGCTTTGGAGGAACTGGGGCATTGTTTTGGGCATGGTAAGCAACTGATTCGGCTGGGGCATCCCTCAAATTGTATGTAGTCACTAGGAGATGGATGTTGGTGTGACTCCCCTGTTGCAATGTCAAATCAAAGCTCAGAGTAGAATCCGTTTTAGGCCCCATCTCTTCATCAATGTGAACCATTCGCATGTGTGCTGCCATTTTTTCCACATCATTGAAGGTTGACCGGCAATATGGACAAGACAGACCATGAATTAACATATGGTTGAGCAGAGTATCTGTGGGCAAATAGCGATTACAGTAGAGGCATTTGCTAGTAAAATTGTGTATTTTCATAATGTAGTTAGCTACTGCTGGGACTTTCTCAGCTTTATGTTCCTTTTCAAAGTGAACACTATAGACATTCTCAGGAAAAAGCTCATTACAGATTGTACATATTTTCCACTTCTGAGTGGCACAATGGTTGCTTGGAGGAGGGCCCGTGGCTGCTGGTGGAGGTTTAGAACCAGACTGACCTAATACTCTAGAAGCCTGTGACTGGGACACAGAGGGAGACTTCACCTGGCCTGGGGGTAGAGAGGTGTTGGCAGTCTGCAAGGAGTACCTGGCTGCTGCCGGGGGCCTCTGCTCAGCACCTAGTCCATAGGACCTCCCATTTCCACTTGGAAGTAACTGTTTCACAGACTGAGACTGCTGAGGGATGGAAACTGGAGCATTGCCACCTAGACCCAGCCTCACTGACTGGCCAACACCGTAACTCTGGCCTACAGATTTGACTCCATAGTTGTTTTGCTGCAGGTGAACATTGGACATCATGTTGACTCCTGCTGAGTTTAAGTTAGGCTTTGGTATTGACAGTCGATTCACCATCTGCTGTGACGGCAAAGACCGGACATTTCCAGAAGTAAGGGAACTGATTCTTGGTGGGAGTCCCATGCCCTTTTTCTCTTGAGGCTTGGGCGCGATCAGCATCAAGGGTTTGGCTCGGGGCACAACAACATTCGTGTGCCCAATCATGGCCGTGACCTGATAGCCTATGCGCTCATGGTCCTCAATGACATGCTGTACCAAAGCCTCATAGGACTTGGGCATGAAAAGGCATCGCTTGCAGTGGATGTTACACTCTTCTCGGGCATTTGTGCCCAGGGGGACTGCACCATTGAGTGATTTTTCTCCCGCCTTTGCTATGTACGGTGCTGCCACATGCTGAAAATGTTCCCTGTAGATGTGCTTCCTGACAATCTCATAAAGAGGGTCTCGGTAAGTGCACTTCTTGCAGTAATACACGGCTTGCTCTACACTGTCAGCCTGCTTAGGTTTAAGGCCATCGTTTTTGTTTTTATCTTTGAAAGTGCTGAGGCTGCTACTGGGTGCGCTGGAATTTGGAGCATGAAATATTTTAATGTGTGTTTCCAAAGTCTTTTTATCTGCATTGAAGGTACAGTAAGGGCAATTAAGGAGAATTCTATTTTCAAAGTCTTCACTATGAACATTCCGGAAATGACTCTTGTAGGCAGAGAAGAATTTTGAGGAAAACGGACAAGCACTGCAGCAAAAAGGTTTTGTCCGATAGTCCTAGAAAATAAATGAAACAAAACAAAACAGAAACCGAATGAGAAGGTAGTTACAGGTTTTGGCACTCCTACCCCTCCAGTCATTCCTAGAAATTCTGCAAGGTAATGATTTTTGGAGGTTTCTCCTGCTGGGAAGCTAGAAAGAGAAACTCATGGAACTCAGACAAATTTTTAATCAAATACCTTTATTTTTGTCCCTATGAAAACTAAAACTAAGTGCTAAGTTCTTGCTAATCCTTTAAAAAATGCCAGTTATATTTGCTGGCTGGTTTCAGAGAGAAGTCAAATGCAAAAAACAAAACAAAAAGACTTCAAGAAAAACATTTTATCCATGAAAACAATCAGAATAAACCATGCAAACTCCTTATTTTGTGGATCAGTAGTCTGCTCAGGTTTCAGACACAGGAACTCATAGACCCATATGCCTTCATAAGCAACACAGGTATGCTTTTTTCTTTGCCACCATGCAACAATATTTTAAAAACAAAACAAAACAAAACCTCTCAAGTTTCTTCTCCAACCTAAAGCATAGTGTATTTAGTCTTCACTGCAAGGTCAAAAGGCTCCAGACTGGAATATTGGCCTTGTTCTTCTACTTCTCTGACAGAGCAGCTTCAAAAGGTCAATAAGGGCTGGAGAGATAGTTCAGCCGTTAAGGGCACTAGTTGCTTCCAGAGGCTCTGGGTTTGATTCCCAGCACCCACAAGGCAGCTCATGACCATCCATACTACAGTTCCAGGCTATCTGGTGCTCTCTTCTGACCTCTGAGGGTACCAAGCATGTACACAGCATACAAATATACATTCACAGAAAACACAAATCAGAACATATTTTTCTCTTCTTCAAAAATGCCAATGAGAAACCAGGCATGGTGATATATGCTTCTAATCCCAGCACTTGGGAGGCAGAGATAGGCAGATTTGAGTTTGAGGCCAACCTGGTCTACAAATCCGAGTGCCAGGACAGGTTCTCCAAAGCTACAAAGAGAAACCCAGCCTCAGTTAACTGACTGTTTTATAGACAGGGCAAAGGGGTCAGAAGCCATGGTTTACTACACAGCATACTAGTTAGAGACCAGCTTTCAGAATTACTATCTCAAATAGGTAAATATACACATGATAAACAGTCATCTTTTCTCCTGTTTTTTTCCTGAAGGTTTTGAGTTCTCTGGATTGCCACCAACTCCTCAGGTGGTGTACTGGTGTCTGTCTTTAATCCCAGTGCTGGGGAGGCAGAGACAGGCGGATTTTTGAGTTCCAGTATAGCCAAGGATAGAAAGAGCCTGTCCTCAAAACCAAACCTTCTCTAGGAAGGCCTTCTCTTGTAAGAATGCTGCTCAGAACTTCTCCCTAGGACATTAAGTAGAGTTCAAAAGTACAAAGTACAGAATTAGAAAGGGAGTTCACAATCACTTTTCCCCATGGAGAGAAGTACCATTTATAATATTATCACATTCAAAAAATTATTAATTTATTTACATTCTAATCCCAGTTCTCCCCTCACCCCCGCCCCACCTGCTCCTCGGAGAGGGTAAAGTCTCCCTTGGGATGTCTACTAGGGGAGATGATGTCCCATCATTTTGCTGAGGCAGGGCCAAGGCACCATTATCACACATATATGTATATATTTGAAACAGGGTTTCTCTGTGTAACAGCTCTGCCTGTCCTGGAACTCATTCTGCATACCAGGTCAAGTCCAGAGAACAGATGGCTCTGCCTCCTGAGTGCTAGGATTAAAAGTTGTGTGCCATGATTGGCCCTATTATCATACCTTAATTATGGACACACTAGTATAAATAACTATCCTTCTGAATTCAAAGGTACAAAAAAATGACCTGTCACTGCCATTCTAGGGGTCACCTGCCACATCCTCCCATAAAGATTAGGTATTATTAGCGGGGATAAAGAAGTGTAATTAGAAGACTGAGTGTAGGCAGTCGGTGGTGCACACCTTTAATCCCAGCACAGAGGCAAGTGGATTTCTGTGAGTTCGAGACCAGCCTGGTCTACAAGAGCTAGTACCAGGACAGTCTCCAAAGCCACAGAGAACCCCGTCTCAAAAAAAAAAAAAAAAAAAAAAAAAAAAAAAAACCCAAAAAAACCCAAAAAAACAAAAACAACAACAACAAAAAACCCAAAAAAAGAAAAAGAAAAAAGACAGAGTGTTGACTGGGTAGTGGTGCCGATGCATGCCTTTAATCCCAGCACTCAGGAGGTACAGAGACAGGTGAATATCTGAATTGGAGGCCAGTCTGGTCTACAGAGTGAGTTCCAAGACAGCCAGAGGCTAGCTACATGGAAAAGCCGTTGATCATGACTTTTCAGACAGTATAGCAGGTGGGTGGCTACACCCATAATAGTGAAGATTGCTCCTTAGAAGTGGAAGCAGAAAGGTACTGTGGAATAATACTTATATATCAAAGGGCCCCCAACTTGGTTCTTTCAGTTTTTTTTGAGAAAGAACCATTTGCCCAGGTTGGCCTCCAACTTGTTATATAGAATATATACAGAATATACAGAACGCCCTTGACCTTTTGATCCTGCCTCCACCTCTCAAGTACTGCAATTAGAGGTGTGTGCCACCATGTCTGGTTTATGTGATGCTGGAGATCAAACTCAGGGTTTTGTGCTGGACAGGGAATGCTCCAACTAATGAACTGCAGCGTTAGTTCCAACTTGAAAATTCTGTTCATTCTTTGCACTTGAAGTTGTAGTCCAGTAACAACTGACATCTAAGGTTTCCTAGCACTTGAGAAAGTGAGATGTGTGTACACTTTCCCCATCAGGCCATTGCCAGGACACAGCTGACAGCTGACCCTATGAAAGGCTCAGTGGGAAATGGACACTCTGGGACATCTCCTGTGAGACTTACCTGATTTTTTGTAAGTGAAGGGTCCCAGAGTCCTACATCCTCCCATGTAGTGTTTTTCAAATAAAAGTCATTAGGTTCAAACTGTTTAAAATCCTAGAAAAACAGTAAGAGAAATTTACAAAAACACAGTGGTATCAAGCCCTGCTTGTCCTGACACCTAAATTCTACCTCTTTATCCAATGTGGAGGGCACAGGAGGGTTAACCACTGAGAACTATAATGCAGTGGAGTAGGGAATCAGCAAATGCACAAGGCACGTGACCATGCTTCCAGAGAAACTGCCCCAAGTGTGGATGGGCAGGCTCCAGTCTTAACCATATAACTCACTAGTCACAGCCCTTCGTGGAGGAGGGACATGTGCTAATAGCCTCAGAGGAGGAAGAGTCTAGCTTGGCAGCATAAACAAACAAACAAACAAATAAACAGAAGGAAGGGGAAATCTAGAAGAAAACTCAGATTTTTAAACCCAGAAAGAAAGCAACATGATAGTGTGAAATTGTAGTGCCCCCTCTGACTAAGACCATCGCAGGGCGAATGGTTCACAGCTATAGGTGGAGAGGAGAGCTAAATATGTACAAACTTTACTTATTAGAGTACCTATTAGCTGTAGTGGGAGAGGCAAACCCAGAACAGGATAGAAAGACACTTGACTATTTGCATACTTACTTGGAAGGGTCTCACCCACCCCCCAAGTACAAATCCATGTGAATCTGAAGAGTTATCTCCACCCTGAGAACAAACTACTAGAAGCCTACTTTAGAGAAGCTTCGGTTTCCAGGATACACCCTTGAACTGCTGAGTGGGATTCAGGAGAAGAGAACTTGGATCATGAATGAAATGTCCATCAATTCTACCCCTGATCTGTGTCTTCAGCACTTGTTTCATGCCAAGCACTGTGCTAGGCAGTAGGAGAAAGGGCTAAACAAGGCCACTTTAGCTTGGCCAGTAGAAACATAAACTCCTTAGGGAAAATTGCTTTCAATGCTTTGGTTGGAGGTGTTGTCCAACTAACTGTAAGATCTGGAGCAAGGAGATCTGGACAAGGAGACGCCTCTATCTATTCCATGGGGCTTGAAAAGCTCAGAATAAAAAGCTAGGGAAAGCTGGAAAGGCCAAACTGCTACACAAGGGCAAGATAAGTCTTTGATGGGTCAGAAGGCTGACAAATACCCAAATCCCAAGGAAAGAGATGACAAACACCCAGACAACCATGCCTCAACAGGTCAACAAGAGCTAAAACAGTCCCCACTGTATCTTCCTTAATGTGAGCCTGAAATCACTGCTTCCCCAATTCCTATGTCATAGGTTGGAGACAAGACTTCCTAGAGCCCCTGAAGGTTATTTCAAGGCCAAACTTCATATACAATTTTAAAGCACCTTGTGCACTATGTATATTCTCCATGTTGCAACTGTTTTTGCCTCAGGATGCAAAGATGAACACACTTTCAGGAAAAGGGAGTAAGCTTTTCTAAATGAGAAGGTTTTGGTGAAGCTGTAGTTTCAGTTAAAATTCACTGTCACACCTAACAGTGAACCATCTTGCCCATGAACACAGTAACGGATCAGAAGCCGAGTCACATTAAAATTTAAAAATGGCATGCTACTTACTTCTATATGTTCTTTACAGTATTCCAACCCAATGTCACTAAGTATTTTTTTCACAGTTTTCCGGGCTTTTCTTAAACTGCCAAGATTGTTGACAGGAAGTTGGAACATAGTTTCTATTGGAAAAAAAAATTTAAGTCAAAGTCAAAACACGAACAACTTGTCAAGGTTACTAATTCCACTAACAGGATCCCAAACCCTGGCTCCCTCAGGGGAGAAGGTGTCTTCATCTAGTACACGAACACTTAGAGCAGGCAGGCAAAGGTGAGTGCTTGTTGGCCTTCCCTATTTTGTTGGAGGACATTTTTATACCATGAATCGCACACAAGTATGATTAGACTTAAAAACAGTATCAATTGTGAGGGTGAGGGAAAGAGTTTGCTATTTGAAATGTCAAGGCAACAATACTGTCACATAAACAAGTGACATTTAGTGACTGTTTCTGTCTCCTCAAATTGAAGTCCCAAGTGGTGTGTGACCTGCTCCTTAGGTGACAACGTATCAGGCAAAGGACTCACATAGGCCACACAATGGATACTTAGATGGGGAAAGCCACGCTTGCTGCCTCAGAGTACATGGTAACTGCTGTAGGCTTTCTGGGATCTTTCAAAAAACAAAATGCCTGTAGAGTGTGAGCATGTTAAGGGAATAAAAAGCTGCTTGATTGTCCCAAATACATCAAAGGCAGAAGCAGAAAGAAATGCAGATCCTTTTTCCACATTTCTTAAAAACAAGCCGGGCGGGCGGTGGTGGCCTTTAATTCCAGTACTTGGGAGGCAGAGGCAGGCAGACCTCTGTGAGTTCGAGACCAGCCTGTTCTACAAGAGAGAGTTCTAGGACAGCCTCCAAGGCCACAGACAAAGCCTGTCTCGAAACCCCCCTGCCCCAAAAAGTACTTGTGTTTATTTAAGAAAACGGAATTAGTACATTCTGTTAAGTACATTTTGTTAAGGCTTTGAATGTGACCTTCATTGTTTTAATAATCTAAATCCAACATAATTTCATAGAATATAGTAGTGCTAAGACCAAAGCCAGCAAAAAAAAAAAAAGTTGGGAATTTACAAGTCTCAGATTTCTGCCTGTAACGGTCACCTTTACCGGCTGCAAGCCTGAATCTGGGGATGTTCTTATAAGTCACAAGTTCCAGAATACCCCATTATTAAGTATCAAATTTTAGCTGGGTTTGACATTAAAACATTCACTAAACTCCAGCATTTCCCAGCCTTATTATTCTCCAGATGAACTTATGTAAGCTAAATACTGGGCCTAGAGTGAGTGGGGCCATAGTTACCATTTACTTCTCCTTCACACTCCCTGAGCTTATACCAAGCCAAGCAACAAGGTTTCAATAAAATACTAGTCCATGAAAGAGTACTCAAAAGTTTTTTTCACAGGCCACTACCTGTTAAACACTTAAGAGTTAGGCCAGGCTAGGTGGTATAACACATCTGTAACTCCAGCATTCAGATGGATGAGGCAGGAGGATAATAAGGTAGAGGTCACCTACACCCTAAATGCAGCAAGCCCTGCAGTGACATCTTGACAAAAAACAAAAAAACACTTTAAACCAGTAGTTGGCTCCAGAATTCATTAATGCCACCCATCTGATTTTTTGCTTAAAAATTTGTAAAAAGGACCCCAAGCCTCAAAACCCTTCTGAACTAAAAACCTCAACAAGGAGACCATATTTTGAAAACACAGAACCCCCCCCCCCAAACCCTACAGTACGAGGGACAGGGTGGTGGCAGTTTCTCCCAAGAGTCTTTCAGTTTGTTATCGCAGCAGTGTCTAACAGGTCCTTGCCAAGGAGAACCTTTCAGCACAGGGCACAAAAAGGGCAAACTGTCCAAGTTGATAGAATGGTACTGTCCATCAATCACTTCACATCTAGACTTTGCAGGTCACGGTGCTGGGAACACACAGTAGGCCCTCAGGCAACAAGTTTTACACAAAGCTTTGTTGTCTAGCCTCAACTGGAACTACTACTGCTACAATATAATGTGCCCTCAGTCAGGACTCAGGTGAGCAACATGTTTCCTCTCAAAACATGGCTGTCGGGTGTGGTGGAAAGCAGAGTGAGTGTCTGAGGGAGCACTCTCCTCATTGTGCCCACATCCCTTTCTAGACATACGAGCATACGTGCTTAAGTTTTGCTGCCACCAAAAGTCTTGGTAGAATCAACAGGCTGTGTGGGACACAGAAGTGAATTAGTAAAAAGGAAAAATGGGATCAATTAGAACTTTGTCAAAACATTCAGTACACAAAAATCCCTGGCCTTGACAACCAAAAGTAAAATACTATATAAGGTCAATTGCTAAATTCTAAAATAAATTTGGGGACAGGCCAGTTAGTTCAGTTGGTTAGAACATGGTGCTAATAAAGTAATCTTGGGACCGCTCAAGGCAGGTGTCTGAGTCACAGCCATGGACTCACCAAAAGAGCTGCACTGTACAGGCTAGGCTGACCTTCAGCTCACAGACCCTATTCCTGGACTAAAGGCATGTGCTACTACTCCCAGCTCACAATCAACTTTAATCAACTTTTGAGAATGATTTAACGAATTCACACTGAATGAGTGAGTCATACCCCTTTCTCAGTCTCACCCACACCTAAAGAGGAGGGCAGGAGCATCACAGCTTAACCCAGGCCAAACTCCTACTTTTGTATTTTATTAGAAAGCAAGAGTCTAATGGCTGCAAGGAAAATCTGAGATTCATCTTGGCCATATAAATAGTATAGTATGCCTGGTTCCCCCTTCCCCCGACACCAAAAGCAATTACTTCAAGTACCAAGAGAGTAAATAGAAAACAGCCCAGCTGCAGACCACCCTGTACAGGTACAAGGACCACAATCCAGTATCTGTAGTAGATACTGAATAGAACCTATGAATGGAGAGACTAATCATAGCTTCAATCTCAAGCTGGATTTATTCAGAGGCTGAGTAGGTTCTTAGAAAGATGGAGAAGGACCCAACAATAACAGTGACAGATTAGCTCAAACAATGGTCTGCAGACCTGAGTGGAACATGAAGCACCAGTGGGGCTTGTCTAAGTCAGTGTCCCCGCAGTGCTACCAAGTCAGGATGGCACCAATAACCCTTATTTTTAGAACTACAGAAGATCAAACAACAAAAATGAAACAAAACACAGACAGGCGCTGGCAACTCTACAGTAAAGCAGCCACCTAGTGTTCAGGAAGCCACCGGTTTGATTCCCTGCATCACAAACAAAAAACACAGAAATCCCCACCATGTAAAACAAACAGAAGGGAAGGAGCCTTCACAGCCAACTGGAAACATTTTGTCTGAGCACAACAAGAAAAATCCTCAAATCAATGCATCCAGGTTATACTTAAGTCATCCTGTGGATGCAGCAGTGTGTCCTTAAAGCCATCTTGTTTCAATATGCACTTAAAAAAATGTACTTACATATTTATGGGTGTTTTACCTACATGTACATGCTCTTTGCACACCAGAAGAGGGCATTGGATCCCAAGGGCCTATAGTTACAGATGGTTGTGAGCCACCGTGTGGGTGCTGAGAATTAACTCAGGACCTCTGGAAGAGGAGCCAGTGCTTTTAAGTGCTGAGTCATCCCAGCAGCCCTCTCAATATGCACTTTTACTTGATGTTTCTAGACCTCTAATGTGTATCCAGGCTAACCGAACACACTCCAAGTGCAACAGTAATATGACAGCCAGCTAACTAACCACTCCCCCAATAGCCGCTCTCATCTTCCTATCTTAGCCACACATATAATCATTAAGTCAACCACTGGTGGTGAGGCATATCCATAGTCCCAGCACTTAGGAGGTGGAGACAGTTGGAGCAGGCACTCAAGGCTAGCTTTACCTAAATACTAAAAGGCTAAGAGAGAGCTAGTCTCAAAAAGCAAGTATGGTCAAATGGGTGAGATGGCTCACTTGCTAGGCAAGTCTATGAACCTGGGTTTGATCCCTAGAAACCATGAGAGAGATAGAGAACCCATTCTTTTTTTTTGTTTTTTGTTTGAGACAGGGTTTGGAGCCTATTCTGGCACTCACTCTAGAGACCAGGCTGGCCTCTAACTCACGGAGATCTGCCTGCCTCTGCCTCCCGAGTGCTGGTATTAAAGGCGTGCTCTACCACTGGTGAGAACCCATTCTTGAGAGCTGTCCTCTGATCTTCACACATGTACCACACATCCACACTAAACAAAATATTTTTAAAACTTATAGGCATGGCATAACTTTCTTAGTCTTCAGACTCTAGCCTCTTGCCCAACTATTCTAGGATCTGATCTGAAGCAGTGAACACATACCTTGTTTTTTAAAAATGTTTTCTTTTTATGTACATTGGTGTTTTGTCTGCACATGTCTGTGTGAGGGCATGGGATCCCCTGGAACTAGTTTCAGACAGTTTGTAAGTTACCATGTGGGTGCTGGGAATGGAACCCAGGTCCTCTAGAAAGAAGAGCAGTCAGTGCTCTTAACCTCTGAGCCATCTCTCCAGCTCCCATTCTTTATTTCTTTAAGCCTATTACTAATCCTATGTTTAAAGTACCCGTAAGGCTTATATATTGTAGTTATCTTGTGTAGGGTCTTTCTTCATTTCCCTGGCAATCTTTGAACTGGAGACCCACCTGCCTCTGCCTTTCCAGTGCTAGGTTAAAGGTGGGTGCAATCATACACTGCATTTGTACTTTCTTTTTTTTTTGCAAATAAACCCTACAAAGCCTTGTTAGAGCCTTCCATCCGGCAAGCCACTCTTATCAAAAGGCTCCTTTCAGTCTGGAAGTGATTACCTACAGACTGCTGCCATCGAGAAGAGGCTTACCCTTTCCTCTGTCAGCATGGGGAGAGCCTTTCAGGAGGTCCCACAGAGGGATGCTGTAACATCTCCCCAACTCTATCTCAACCACCACACTGGCTGATTCTGGATACCCAGGGGGCTGTATAGATGGCTTAGAGGTTAATAGCACTGGCTGCTTTTCAAGAGGACCCAGGTGGGACTCTTAGCACCCACAAAGCAGTTCACAATGGTCTGTAACCCTGATTCTAGGGGATCTGATGTCCTCTTTGGGCTCCTGAGGGCACCGGGCACAACATAGTGCAGACATGCAGGCAAAACACCTACAAACACAGCTGGGCATTGGTGGCACACGCCTTTAATCCCAGCACTCGGGAGACAGGTGGATCTCTGTGAGTTCGAGGCCAGCCTGGTCTCCAGAGCGAGTGCCAGGAAAGGCTCCAAAGCTACACAGAGAAACCCTGTCTGGACCCCCCCCCCCCCCCAAAAAAAACAGTTACAAACACAAACTAAAAATAAAACAAAGAAAAATTTAGGTCTAGGTCTAGCCAGCTGGTTCAATGTGTAAAAAAGACTTGCCATGGTGATTTGAGTTCAATTGCTGGGACCCACTTGATGGAAAAGACAGAACTGACTCCTGTAGTCAATTCTCCGACCTCCACACATGTACCATGGTACCCCCAATAAATGTATTTAACCAAATGATGACACAAATGTACTGTTTTCAGAACCACCATTAGACATCAAACTTTCAAAATTCAAGACATTTCCCTTTCTTCCTCTCCCAACTAACCGATCAATTATTTTTGCCACCCCTTTGTCATCTCCCCCAGTGATCTTCAAGTCATTCCTCAAGGGATAGTCTACAGTTTGTAAATCTCCATGGTTGACCCTGTTTGAACTGGTTACTCTGGACGTGACAATGTAGGAGGTAGAGAGGCAACACCAATTCTTGACATTATTTTTAAATTAATGCTCTTAAAATAGTTATGTCTGGCAAAAGCCACTTCACACATCTATGGGTAGCTGGAAGAGAGGAAATACCACATCTGGGGGCGCTGTGCCAGAGCATCACTGCCACAGGTGAAATGGTCCTAAACCGAGTTCAGTCAAGCCTGTGCACACACAGAGGTTAGGAATCTGCACATATCTAAGGTCAGCCAGATGACTCCATAACATCCAAAAGAGAACAAGGACAGAGCTGAGGTCAAGGCATGCTCTTAAATCAGTTAGGATACCAACGGCCACTAAGAAACCACACCGAAGGTTTCATTAAAAACAAAAAACAAAGGTTAAACTTGTGTACACAGGGCACACATGGACAAGTCAGAGAACAATTTTTTTTGAAGATTTATTTATTTTGCATACAACATTATTTATTTATTTATTATGTATACAACATTCTGCCTCCACGCCAGAAGAGGGCACCAGATCTCCTTACGGATGGTTGTGAGCCACCATGTGGGTGCTGGGAACTGAACTCAGGACCTCTGGAAGAGCAGCCGGTGCTCTTAACCTCTGAGCTATCTCTCCAGTCCCAGAGAACTTTTAAGAGTTAGTTCTCCCTAGGTAACAAAGAGGACCCAAAGAATTGCCTAGGAAGGGGAAAAAAAGACAAGATTTCCTAGTTGAGGGAGGGAGGGAGTGTGTGTGTGTGTGTAGAGGCAGAAATGTATAGCTCAAAAGAGAGAGAGAGAGAGAGAGAGAGAGAGAGAGAGAGAGAGAGTTTCTCTACCATGTGGATCTCAGGAATGAGCCATCTTGTGGGCGCTCTAGTCAATTCATAATGCTATTGTTTCACAAACAGAAAATATGGTATCCCTCACTTTTCTTCAGTGCTGGCTGAAATCCACGATGGGCAAGTACTCTACCACTGAGCATTACACCCACTCCCCCAAGCACACAACAGCCTTTCAAAAACCAAATGCCTTCTATCACCTTCTCAACGCTAAAATTTTTGGAGGAAGTAAATTCTCATGTAGCCAGGCAAGGCTAATGCTGCTATAAGCAGAGTAGGACCTTGCACTTCCCAAGCCTTCTGCCTTGGCTTTTCAAGTACTGGGATTACAGATGTGTATGTACATTGTACTCACTGTTACTGTGATCTTCTGAAAGCTACGTGGGGAAGGCAGAGGCTGAAACTGTTTTTGTCGACTGTTAGTAGGATGTTAGGCTGTTCTTAACCACCAGGCTCCTTTGCTCAAATGAAGCACTATTTACACCCCTAGCACAGATGACTTTTGAAACATGTTAGGCAAATCAAGCCAGTCATAAAAGGCCATAGTTATCTGACCTTGTTTCTATGAAATATGCAGAAGTGGCTCTTCAGGTGGAAACTAGGGCAGCCTGAGAGAGGTGGGGAAATAGGAGGGAACTGCTGACAGACACCAGGCTTCTTCCTGGGGGAAGAAGGTGTCTGCCCACTGTTCTGGTAGGTGTCATTCCAACTACTCGAAACCACTCAACTGTATGCTATAGCTGAGAAAGCTGTTACCAAAGTAACAAACACCCAAAATATAAGGTAAAATTCTTACATCACTCAAAGGCATGAAAACACAATATAGCATCTTCCAGATTTTTCTGCACATTAATTAGATTTTCTTTTTTTGTGTTAAGAGACTAAACTCAGGTTATCTCAAAGACTAAGTGTCATACCAGAGTTATACCTCAGTAATGTTTTCCCTTTAATAAGCTAGCAGGGCACACGTGCCTGGAATTCTAGCCTCTGGAAAAGTGAAGGCAAGAGCATCAGGAGTTTAAGGTCATCCTGAATTATATCAGACCGGGTGTCTCAAAGATAAGTGGCTCACAATCATCTGTAACTCCACTTCCACAGGCAACCCAACAACCACTAATGTCTCCCCTGGCCATTATTGCATGCATGTGGTGCACATATAAACACATTAAAACAAAACAAACCAGGGCTGGAGAGAGAGCTCAGCAGTTGAGAAGAGCTCTGGTTGCTTTTCCAGAGGTCCTGAGTTCAATTCCTAGCAACCACAGGGTGGTTCACAACCATGTATAATGGGATCTCATGCCCTCTTCTGTCATGCAGGCACACATGTAAATAGAGCACTCATATACATTAAAAACAAAACAATTCAAGACCAACAACATATGAATGAATACCCCTGGCTGGCCTCCTATGCACAGAGATCCACCACCTTCTTTTGCCTCCTCCTGAGTCCTGGGATTAGTCAGTCTGTAGTCCAGGAACTCAGCCTGTAGACCAGGGAGATAATTTTAAACAGCAGCCAGTGTTCAAAACCAGGGGAATTTATCACCAATGGCTCTTAGTCAAAATGGGGATTATTGTGTACCTGTTAAGATTTTCTGGAATAGGATGAGTCTCTAGAGCAAGTTCCTGGATGCAATCTAGAAGGACAATCTTGGCACATTACAGAACATTGTAGACACCGGTAGTGAGTTACTTTGTGGTGATATAGCAAATGGGACCCGTCTGGGTGGCCCCAAAACTTTTAAGTACTTAAAAAACAAACAAACAACACCCCCTTCCTCCCCAAATACCAGACAGCTTTCTTGGCAAACTGGCTCCACTTGGGAGGCAGAGGCAGATGGATCTCTGTGAGTTCGAGGCTAGCCTGTTCCACAGAGAGAGAGAGTTCCAGGACAGCCTTTAAAACAATACAGAGAAACCCTGTCTTGAAAACAACACTACCACCACCACCCAAAAAAACAATGATGGTCTTAATGCACTCTGTCTCAAATGACAGATTACAAGTTCAACAGTGCTTTTGTTTGGCAAAATTCAGCATGTGAATTTGCAGACGACCTTCAGAAAAATCCTTTGTGTTGAATTTAAATTTTCCTTTTCATTTCTTTCTAGTAGTTTCAAAATTTAACTTCAAAAGAAGGGACATCTTAGGGAAAATGAAATGGGAGCCTTCTCAACAGAAAGAGGACCTGACAGGTGTTGCATGGCACTTTAGGATACCAATAAACTACCCAGTGATAAACTACCTATTGATCAACAGCCTGTTCCTCACACCACCAACTATCAAAATCACAACGACACTGTTTTAGCAGCTTTCATTTTAAATCATCACCATGAGGGACCCCAAACAATCAGATTTTTATTGCTACTTCACAACTGTAAGCTTGCCACTGTTATGAATTGTGATGTAAACATATGATATGTGACTCCCATGGGGTTGAAACCCAGAGGTTGAGAACGGCTCCCTGCCTTAAGATGTAAGACACCATCTCCTTAATTCAAGACAAACAACACCCATTAAAAAGGACATTTTTGTCATCCTCGCCATCTGTATCAGTGGCTGCTACAAAGCAGGAGATCAAGAAACAGATCAAATGAACAAGGCTCTGCCTAGTAAGGCTCATAGACAGGATATCCACAAACAACAACAGCAAAAGAGGGGCCACGTCAGAAACATCTTCAGAAGTAGTAGCTGCTGATAGGGCCTAGCTCTAAGCTAGTGAGCATGACCATGGTGCTAGAGGCAGGAAAGCCAAGTCCTAGTAAGTCCCGCTCGGAATCTGAACGGCCACCTTGTAAAGGTAAAGTTGGAAAAGTGGGTTGATAATAAAACAGGGGCCTTGAATGTGAAGCTACAGTCTGGTGCCCTGTCTACTTGCAGGTACAGAAAAGTAAGTGACATACACAAACACACTAACATGGTTTCAACCTAGACAAGGACTACCCACACTAAGTTATATTTCCGAGACCCGAGAAGTGGCATTTTAAAGGCATGTTAGCAGAGTTTTAGGCTGGTTGTCTGTTTGATACCAGAATTAGCTCATGTGAGAACCACTCAAGGTATTATTAAGACCATTCTAAAGTCACTCTCTCTTCCCTGAAAGGTCTGTGAAGCCACAAGTGCCTTAGGTGTTAGGTAAAACAGGGAGGGTGCAGCAAAGGAAGGGAACAGAACCATTTCAAGTGTGCAACTTATAGCCAAAAATCAAAAACAAAACTTCTTTTTTTTTTTTTTTTCCCAGAGTCTATGTATCTGGTTGGCTTAGAACTTGCTTTGTAGGCCAGATGTGGCACCCAACTCTGCTGAGATTAAAGGCACACTTGTCTTGAATCAAAACCTTTGTCTTTCAGTAAGACAGCTGTGTTCACAGACCAAAACATACCTGGTTTGATATACAGACTTCAATGTCAAACTTCTTGAGAGGTAGGGTTGTCAGTAAAGCTGCTATTTGCTAGAAAAGATGGTAAAATGCAATGAGTGACTGATAATCTACCCAGGAGTTAAACAGAGCTGAGCATATACTGCTCTGCCATATACCACTAGCTCTGTGATGCTAAAAATGTTACTTAGCCTCTAGAAGCCTAGTTCCTAAGTGATATGACAGGGCTGGAGACATAGATAACTCAATCTATCAGGACTCAGGTTTGCCCCCCCCCCATAATGGGATCAGATGTGCTCTTCTAGACTCTACAGGAATCCAAACATGTAGCATATATTTACATTAAAAATAAATAAATCTAAATCTTTGTCCAGGTGTGGTGGTACACACCTTCAGTCCAGCAGTTGGGAGAAAGAGGCAAGTGGATCTCTGTGAGTTTTGAGGCCAGCTAGCACTGAACAGTGAGACTCTACCTAAAGAAAAATACACACGATCCCACTGTTTAAGTGTCAGGATTAAGTCAGGTCAATGACAAAGTAGCTCTCATTATTTCCTGAAGCCAGATCAGATAGATACTTTGAAAAATCTAATAACCTTGTAGAAATCTTAGGCTATCTCATTCCTGAGAATCAGCTGTGGTTGCCATAGTAACACCTCTTTCTATATACAGTATAATATGCATCTGTACTCACAGATACACTAGTATTTTTGGCAACAATGGTATAGTTAGCCAAACCACTTAAGTTAGTACATTCTAGTCTTTACATTCAGTGGTATTTAAGGTATTTATCTAATGGGACTTTTGCACACACCTTTAATCCCAGCACTTGCGAGGCAGAGGCAGGCAGATCACTGTGAGTTTGAGGCCAGCCTGATCTACAGGCCATCTATGGCTGTTACACAGAGAAACCCGTTTCAAAAACAAAACAAAACAGAAAACACCACCACCACCACCACCAACAACAAAAAACACCAAAAAAAAAAAAAACCCCCAAACAACAAAAGATTCATATTCTCATCCCCATCTCCAAGGAACAAGGTGAAAGCTGAGAAACCATAGATCTCCCCTTAGCCCCTCATCAATTGAAGAGTTACTATTTTATTCAGAAAGATGTCTCAGTGACGTCTTAAGAAGAAAACAGGGATGAGGACACATGTGAGAGATTCGTCTAGACTTAATGTTTGAAGGGAAGGCACCCTTGGACAAGGCAGGGACACATCAAGAGTGGTCAGCTGCTTGTGAAGAGCTCCACAGGCTTAGAGGCACTTCCTTGTCAGTATAGTACAGTGGACAACCTGGTTTAAGAGGAACCTGAAAAAAACAAAAGCAATTCGAATACTCAGTCGGCCTATGCACAGCCAACATTCATTTATAATCAGGAAAAGCAAAGCATCTTTGTATTATCTATCTCAATGCTGTGTGACTAAGTTGTTTTAATACTCCCAGGCTGGTCTCGAACTCACAGAGATCCACCTGCCTCTGCCTCCTGAGCGCTGGGATTAAAGGTGTGCACCACCAACGCCCGGCCAGAAGGCAAGTTTTCGAGACAGGATTTTGTGTATCTCAGGCTGGCCTTTAACTTCCCATGTAGCTGAGGAAGACCATTGACTTCCTATCCTCTGCCCCCACTTCCTGGGCGCTAAGAGTACTACAACACAGGGATTCTGCAGTGCTAGTGACTCACCACTCACTGGCTCAACCAGAGGCATTTCATTTGGCTTTTGCGCCTGCTGTTTTTCATGATTTGGGGCACCTCTTGAAACAGAATAGTTCACCTTTCACAGGAGTAAGAACTCTATTAACTCAGAATTCACAACTGCAACTTAAAATTTAAATAGGAGCTGCCAAGCACCACATGCAAGTTCTTCCTGGTATATTGTTTCAAAAGAGACCAATCACAAAGTTCTGTAGTCACCAGCTCCCACTCAAGAGAACATTACAGACTCCAAAAGGAAGCTCGGTAGAGTTGGGAAAGAGAGGACAAAAGCTGCAATTCTCAGCAGAGTCACTGCTCAACAGAGTGAGAAGAACAGGAACCAGACAAGCCAAAACTCTGGGAGAAGCAATAGGATCTGAGCAAGTTCTCTTTTCAGAACCTGGACAGTAACTCCAGACACTACTGCAACCAGGACAACTCACCCATATTCTCAGTGGGCCGTGACCGGCTTAATCAGAATGCAGGTAGGACCACAGGTGTAAGCAGACAGCAGTGAACAGCTCACAGAAGCATCCAAAGCATCCCAAGCACTGGCTAGAAAGATGGCTCAGCAGTTAACGAGCACTACTGGCTTGTTCAGGACCCAAGTTGAGTTCCTACTACCCACAGTTCACAACCACCTGTAACTCCAGTTTCAGAGTATCCAACACCGTCCTAACCTCCACAGGTATCAGGGACACACATGGTTCAGACACTAACAGGCAAAACAGACACTAACAGACACATACAATAAGACAAAAAATTCAGTAAATAAATATTCCCAGTGTCCCAAGCACAGGCCTGGACATCTGACAGAGCCTAAAAAAAAAAAAAAGACAGTGCTAAAGAATGGCTTTTAAAACACTAGAAAGCCAAACTGACAAAACATTAGCATCTTACTCTTTTTTTTGGGACTTATTTTGTATTCATGTGTGTCTGTGTGGGGGTGAGGGCATGTGCCTGTGGAGGCCAGAAGAAGGCCTTCTGGATTGTTGATACTCTGGAGCTGGAGTTAGTTACAGGTGGTCTTGAGCCACATGACATGGGTGCTGGGAACTTTGGTTCTCTACAGGAGGACATACCCATAACCACTGAACCATTTCTCCAGTCCTCTATTTACTTGGAAATCAAGTAAAGGGTCCCTATCCTTACCAAAGGCCACCAGCCAAATCAAACAAGAAGCGACACCTAACTCAATTAATTACAATTCTATACCCTAGTTAAGGATAAAGTATGAAGATGTGTAGGAATCCAGCCTTCCTTCAAGAGCTACATCTGGAGTCTTATGCACTCCTCTTATCCCCCAAACACATTGTTGATCCTGTCTTCTGAAGTTCCAGGATTGTTCTGCCAACCGTTTTGGAAGGGAATGGAGATAGATGAAGGAGCCTGACTGGTACAGTACTCATTTTGCACTTTCCACTGACAAGACAACCGTGGCTCACATTCTAAGACTACCCCCCCCCCCCCCCCCCCCCCCCCCTTGATGCAGCCACCCCTAATTTTAGGAAGCATGCTAATATATGTTAGTCTCTTTCCTTGCAGCAGGACAGAACAGTCTCATTAAATTGGAAGATAGAAAGGCAGGCAGGTCATGAAAGGGCAGGTGGGAGGAGCATTAAGATGTTCAAAAACAAAGTAACAAAAACCAACCCTCTATCTGGACAACAGGATAAACAAACAAAAGCCCATGGCCACAAAATCTGGACAAGACACGAATGGCTTACTTAGATGGAGTTTCCACAATCAAGATAGAAAACACACCAATTTGCAAACAAGTCAATAAATAATCCTCCTGAAGAATCTATTTGGCTAACTAGCTTTAGCTTACATTAGTTTCATAAGCATTTCCTTACTGAAAACTGGAAAAGTGATACAAACTTTAACAAGGGATATGATACTATCTGCGGGGCAACATGGCTAGTCCTCACAAACCCAGGGAAAATCTTTCCAAGTTTATGTAATAGCAATAAAATGTCAAGTTCTTTCAGTCTCACTAAAATTATCCTTGTTAGGGAACAACCTTCCCCCTACATGTCTTCTGGGCAAGTCAATGAAAACTAAATTCTCACTGAAAAGTATTTTACCTTCCAAAAAGTACAAGAGGACTTATGACACTCATATTTTGGTTGTGAGCCTAGCCCTTAAAGGCTGAGCCATCTCTCCAGCCCGACACTCATATTTTGACTTGAACTACTAGCTTACTATAAAACAGTCCCATGGGAAAAACAACAAATGAACTTCTACTATTAAAAAATTAAACTTTCAGTTTTTCTCTAATGTTAAGAATTACCATAAGCCACATTTCTAAAACATTTTATTGTATTGAGTGTGACAATCATCAACTCTTAAAAATCCTGTTTCTTTTTTAGGTGGGTAGGAACACATCCATATACACCCAATTAAATGAGCTCAAAAATGTTAGGGCTTCAACTACAATAAAGCAACAAACAAACATACATCAAAAAGATACCACATAAATCAGCCAGTATAATTCTGAACATTTTTCTTTCTTGCTTTTTTTTTTTTAAAAGATTTTTATTTATTTATTATATATACAACATTATGCTTCTATGTATATCTGCACACCAGAAGAGGGCACCAGATCTCATAACGGATGGTTGTGAGCCACCATGTGGTTGCTGGGAATTGAACTCACGACCTCTGGAAGAGCAGCCAGAGCTCTTAACCTCTGAGCCATCTCTCCAGCCCCCACAGACTGAATACCCTTTCAACAGATATTTAAGAGATTTGCTACAAGGAAATCAACAATTTCTTTTGTGCTACACTGCATATATTTATACTTTTAGTAATTAAGCTTATTGGTCAATTACTTTTAAAACAAAATCCGTTCACCACTGTCAAGTTAAAGTGCTATTCAGAATTTTTTCTGGCTCTGGTTTAAGAAGAAAAAGAAATCTAAGCAAAATCAGTCCATGTGGGTGTTTATAAAAAACAATCAACAACTTTAACAACTCTATCGACGATTTCCCATGTAAGGTCTTGAGAACCAAGATTTAAGATCTGGTTATTTTCAGTGTCTAGTAGACCCTATGACAGTAGTTGGAGGAAAAACTTTCAACAAATCAAAATAAGAAATTTAATTCAACAGAATACTCACTTCCCTACAGTTAATTCAGACTGTTCAAAGAATCCTTAGTTCATAGACTATAAATCTCAGCTTTTACTGGGCTAGAGCTGGCTCAGTTGATAAGTGCACTGCTGCTCTTGCAGAGGACCAAGTTTGGTTCCCAGCACCCACACGGCAGCTCACAACCATCAGTAACTCCAATTCCAGGAGATCTGTTGCTCTCTTCTAGTCATATGGGCACTGCATACACACAATGCACACCCACACATGTACACAAAAAACACACACATAAAAACATTTTTTTTTGATTTCAAACTCAACTGTGCCTACCTTCCCCCTTTTTGTGTCAAACCCAGTTAACTGTTCAAACTTAAGAGTGTACTCATTCTCAGTTCACAAGGTTCCCTGAAGGAAAAATGACAAGGATACTAGCTAACACTGTATTTCATTTACTAGAATGAACAAAATCACATTTGCAAACCGCAAACATATACTCAAACCTTATTATTTACTTAAGAATGAGATTAACTGGCACACTTCCCAGCACCCTCATGCGGTTCACATCTGTCTGTAACTCCAGTTCCAGGGGATCTGGCATCCTCACAGACATACATAAAGGCAAAATCCCAAATGTACATTAAAAAAAAAAAAATCATCTTAAAAACAACCTACTACCAAACAGGAGAATATAGGACAAAACTACAAGTCTAACAAATACAAATACAGTATTTCAAGATCACTAACAATTCTATTTGTATTTAATAATGGATTCTGTAAATACTAAAGATATATAAATACATAAAATGTGAATCCAGTGCAGTCTCTCAGGGCAATACTGGCACCAAGGTGCCTCCTTTTCACACAGAAAAAGTTACCTTGTGGCAACCATCTAACAAAGAAAAAAAAAATCTTCAAGCACTAAATGGTAAACTATATATCATACACATCCATTTGGCATCCCATAAATTTATCTTGGCATGTCTATGTAAGATGTTTGTAATAGTAGGATAAAGTATCCACAGGTATCAACACCCATTGTCAATCTTCCCAAGCAAGAACAAGTGCAGGAACTCCTACCAGGCTAATCTTGATCTCTATCAATGACCCATTGCCCCCAACTCCCTTTAACCAAGTTAAGAAATTAAGGCTCTTAGAAGCTTAGCAAGTCTTGAGTTTACTTAAAACTTTATGCCCAACAGTACAGACTGCAAATGACTATAACACCATCAACTTTAAAATTCTCTCTATTAAAAGAGTCACATTTCTAACATGTTCAGAATTCTACTACTGCAACCAACTCTAACTGGTTCCTTGAGGAATATGGCTAAGCTGAAATTTTGGAAGGGTACATTTTGGTGGTGACCAAGGAGGAAGTATCTGGCTTCCCTGATGCTTCAGCACCCACCCTCCAAAATGATATACCCACCGGTGTGAATTGACAATGTAGTCCAAAGAGCAAGGCAGGGAACGGAGTCCAGATCCTCAAAATGGCAGTACAGGGAATAACCACTAGGCCACCTATCAGCTCAGTACAAAAAGTGCAACCCTGTGCATCACGGTGTAAAAGCTGGGGCCTAGGTTTCGTACTGTGCATCTCACACCTATGGAAATAACAACAGGAGTAAAATCTACGGAAATCCACACACCCTAAGAAAGTGGTGCACACCAAGCCTGGTGTCAACACTTGCAAAGGCAGTTGGCTACCGACAGAACACACTGCTGGAAGACTGAAGTTGGAAGGCAACAAAAATTTGCAATCAACTCTATTAAGTTTGACAATGAAGAACTCAATAAGGATCTGATGTTTACCAACAAAGCCTTGCAAATCATGACACCCATTTCTCATGGCTATGAAAATCACCACCCCATAAAAACCTCTTAAAAAAATGACTTTTCACTCTCAAAAGAGCTGGAGAGATTTGGACTGACCAGTGATACCCCAAGCCCATTACTTTCAGATTTAAAACACCCCCTTTACCATCTGGCCTAGGAAAGAGATGTTGACGCATCCAAACCTGAAGGTTGAGAAAGGGAACCTATGACCTAAGGATGTGCATGAAGGTGACTGATCAGCAACCAAAGTCTGAGGGTGAACAGTTTGGAACAAGTAAAAACTTTCCAAACGATGATGTGGCTTTCTTAAATAAAAATCTCTCTGTAGGCTCACTTCATCCTTCGCCATGTTGCTGTCAGCTCAACTAAGTGCAAGTCTTGCTGGACCCATTTTCGATTGGTCTGTAGAAGGCGCTGTTAAGCACATCCTGTTCCAGTTCTGGGGCCCTTCCCCCCTCTGCAGCCTTACCCAGTGCAGAGAATGCGCCCCCTACTGACTCCAACACTCATTGCCTTTAACCGAGTTGGCTGCGGTGCATTTTGGGTGGGGGCTGGTATTTTCTTCATGGCCATAAACCAGAAGCAACAATGCAGATTTATAAAGAAACTGCACAAAGCTATCCAAGAGACAGGCCCCCCCCCCATCCTGAAGGTTCAAGACACAGGCACAAGAAGCATCAGGGATGGGAACTGGGCGTTTGGGGTTGGACAGTATTAAAATGGCTAACACAGGAAACAGTTTGGTTCTTTTTCCCTCCTAAGCCTTTGTCTGTGAAATGGGGTTATGACAAGAACTGTCCAGAGGAACTGGTTGGTGACTGAAGAACACTGAGAAGACACTTGCGGTGTGTGGCAGGGAGTGAAGCTAAAACGGGTGTTAGACTTCAAAGCCCGATCTTGGACACAAGAGGAAGAGAAGCAATCGCGCCTTTTCTACCAGACAGGCATCCAGGTGGTGGGGTGGGGTGGGTGGGGGGCTGAGGACGAGGACAGGCAGCCCAGAGGAAAGAAGAGGTGAATGAGAGGGTGCTCACAACTACCCCCCATTCATTGCATTCGACAAAAAGCTTTTCGCGGCTTTCTGGATTTCCATTTTCTGACTGCAAAGTTGAGTATCAGAAAGCTCTAAAGGGTAGTGCTGAGCAGGCAGCCGGGAGCGAGAGCCGGGCTGGCGAAGGGCTGGCTGTGCTTGTTGGGATGGGAGGGAAGCAGGCATGTTGTCGGGGTGGCAA